TTACTGCAGTTCAGTGAGCCCCGGAAACACTTGTGCTGTATACTGGGTTTGTCATGAACTTCGCGTTCATGATGGCCTATTTCGTGTCTCCGCCTACCGTCACTCAGGCATTTAAATAGTCTGAGGCGTTTAACCGGGGGCGGACGCTCTCCCGGCTGCGGACTGATTCATGGCTGTGGGGTAACACCCAGTCGCCTTGAATTGCGCTGGCCCCCTCGCTCGAGATTGAGGACCTGTTCGGTCCTCTCCGTGGAAGGTGTCGAGCAATTAGGACCGACGGACTCGCAACCCAAGCTGTCCCCATAAAATAGATGAGGTTGAGTGTAGGTCAAGAAAGTCAAGTCAAAAGTCAAGATATTCAATTATTGTGCGTAGGGATTTAGGTCGATCGATTATGAGAGTATAGAGATAATAAATATAATTATTGTAGAGTGTAAATTGTCTAAAAGATGAACCACCAAATACCCACATCTGAGGAGTGATGCCCTCAGAACAGTTGTGAGGGCTTTCTATCTACTTCATCACAACCTTAGCAACCGCCTCTTGCTCTGCTCTTCCTTTCACAATCCTTCTCCATTTTCTAGTAGCACTCCCTGTTAACACCTTACATCCCTTCATATGATCGCACTAACTTGATCCGAAAGGCTGACTACTCTAGAGGAGCCATCAATTCAGTAGAGTTCCTTCTACTCACTGTAATTTCTGTGAAAGATCTAGGAAACGTGTGCGCCCGTGACATAGGGCTGTTTCTACGCTTCAAAGCATAATCAGCCGTATTGACTTTCAGAATTCCTCCCCTATAAGCTAATAAATTCATTCTCCAGCGATATCAGAGTTCAAAAGGACAAGTTGGAATAGGAAACAGTATGTAGAATCTTATTAGTTTAACAAATATATTGCTTAATAAATTAAGTTATGTTGCACGATGTCAATAATCAAGACCAGTAAAACAAGCAGCTTTACCGGGCAATGTGCTCTTCATCCATTGTTCCACGGGGGCAACGCCTTCCTCTGTTGATTCTGCTAGAGGGTGAAGCCATGCGCAGAGACGTTCTATTTCATTTCCCTGAAATCATTACGGTAGTAAAATATAGGGCAGAAGAGCATCATTTCACTCTGGAATACTCAAAACAGTACATCTGCCATGAAAATGATTATATACCAAGGAAGAGCAGAGCAAGAGGCGGTTGCTAAGGTTGTGATGAAGTAGATAGAAAGCCCTACAGAAAGGAATTTGAATGGAGAGTTGGGAGAGCAATGTGCATGCAGGCTGCCCTTATTGGCTGCCTTCTGGTATCTCATCAGAATAATGTTTTACTCTATTCAGAAATTCGAGTTGAAACGCGGGTACTGAAAGAGAATTCCAAGTTAGCATGGGAGATATCACCAGAACTGGCTGTACATCTACCAACAAGGTCAGCTCTCTTTTTCCTTCTTGAGTCTTGGCCTCAATTTTCAAAGCACTATTTTTCTTCAGATTCCGCACCTGCCCAACTCTTCGTGATACCATACAGGAAATGGTTCGTCTGCAACCGGAAGCGGTTTCGCACCTCCCCGACGCGTTGCCACTGTTTCTGGGAGACGTGACGGTCTTTGAGCACACTGATGTGAGTAGCAAGGAGCCAATAATTTCATCCTGTTGCCTCAGATAACTGAAGCATTATAACATGTCATGGTTGACTTACTGTCATGCAGATTGCCCACGTACTTACGTGGGCCACCTGTTCTCCGGTGATGGCGCTATCTCTGCTCACTCCGCGCCAATATCCTCTACATCCGGTCACAGTACAGTACGCTGTCCGAGTACTACGGTCGTACCCGGCTGACGCACTGCTCATGTATATTCCACAGCTGGTCCAGGCTGTCAGGCATGACACCGTGAGTTCCTCTAACAATAAGATATTGGGCCTTTTCGCCCACTGCGATGTCCGTGTGCCTTTTCAGATGGGTTACGTAGCTGAGCTGATTGTGTGGTTAGCTAGCCATTCACAGCTTTTGGCTCATCAGTTGATTTGGAATATGGAGACGAATATGTATACTGACGAGGATAGCAAGAACAAAGATCCTGTTCTCTTTGATGCTCTCAATGATATCATCAAGAAGGTACTTCCCAGAGTTGATAGTGGCTATAAAGATCAGTCTGTGTATCAGATTTTTCATCATTCAGACCACAAGCCAGCTCGAAGGTGCGGCGCGTCGATTCCACGAAGCCGAGTTTTCACTGTTCCACCGGCTTACTGCGATCTCCGGCACCATAAAGCCATATCCAAAAGGCGATGCAAGGAAGAAAGCCTGTCTCAAAGCGTTGGCTGAGGTAGACGACACTTTTTCATACAACTCGGTTTTGGGGTATGGGAGGTAGGCTCAATGGCTGATGGACGCCGAGCTGTTCCTCGAGCTCGTTCAGAATCGCTCTCCTTTTGGGCTAATTCGACCATCCTCCTTTTGATGGTATGACGGTAAGAACAATGACACCGACCGGGGTGTTGGATGGCCTTCAGGTTTTCACTAAATACGCTCAATGCACACAGCTGTAATCTAGATGTATGGCGCGATCCAAGAGGCATTTGATAAGTCCGGGCGCTTTATTCTTTTCCGTTACTTTTTCTTCGAAATAATGTGTTCAGGTCAAATTGGAGACGATAACCTATCTCCCATCGAATCCTGAAGCATTCTTGTTGGATATTGACTACTCGAGCGGAACTCCGATGCAAAGGTCTGAATTGATCCTTCCACGAGAAATCGATTCATTAATTGATTCTTTCACCATACTTTTTTCTTCATTTTTCAGTGCCGCCAAAGCTCCGTTCTTGGCGCGATTTAAAGTCCAACGATGTGGTGTGCATGAGCTGGAGCGCATTGGTTTGGAGGTATGGAAGTAGTTGTGAATGAGTGTTCCTGATTTGATAGTTCCTTGTCGAACTCCTCTTCACTGCAAAATTCCATTTCTAGGCGCAATCGCATGAGAAAGGCAAACAGCCGCCACCTGAGGCTGATTTGAATGAGCTGCGGAAAATTAGCGACAGCGGCACGTGTTGGCAAGCAGCTATCTTCAAGGTATATTTGATTGTCAAGATTCCTCTGAAATAGCTGTGAAGAAAAAACCTACCACTAAATTGTGTCAAGGTTGGTGACGATGTGCGACAAGACATGCTGGCTCTCCAGCTGATGCAACTGATGAAGAATGTCTGGGCCGGTCTCGGGCTTCCTGTATGGCGTCGGGGCTTCCTGTATGCGTCTGTTCATCATATAGGTAAGTTTTTTACGCTATTGGAAGTACGGTATCATCTCCTCGCCAGTACACGTTAGGTCGCAGATTACGGCTAGCCAATAAGGACCTCAACCTTCTTGCTCGCGCAAACGTCCGGTTGGTGATGTTCGCCTTTTGACTTTACCTCGTGTCGGGGCCATAAATCGTCATCATGGAGTATTGTCCACTCTGGAAATGAAGGAAATCGTCTGGATTTTTGCGTGAGGAATAGCGTAACCCGACCTGATGGATCGTCCTCGATGAGGGAGCTGCCTTACCATCTCTGTTATGGAATACGGCACACAAATCTTTTTACGCCATAACGTCCTATTTCAGCATGCCAACCAGGCAATTGTCTATCCTTGCGGGGATCAACTTGGAGTTCAAACTAGATCTTGAGAGTATAAAAGATTGTTAGGAATGATGTAGGCGGGCTGACTCCCGACAAAACTTGAACCTGCAGTCCAGCAAAACGTTGCAGTTCTGTTAGTTTCTCAGTTTTTTTTGTTGGAACTATGTTGAAAAATTACAATTTCAGCAATTTAGACTGTTTTAAACAGCTTATTTTCAGAGTAGTAGCCACGTCACCGGGATGCGGCGTGATCGAATGTGTGCCGAATTCGAAAAGTCGAGATCAGCTCGGACGTCAGACCGATTTTGGTTGGTTTGGTTAAAACCACTGTTCTACGATACTTTCTTGATTTTGGATTCTTTTTTCGCGTCTAATTCATTGAAGCTTTTCTCCAATTCATAAAAGACTACCTCGAACATTCGGACCAGATGTGTACAGTAGGCTGACCCGTGAAATTTAGGCTTATGAAAATGTGTCTTCATGTTATTGGTGATCTGATTTCAGGTTTGTACGAATATTTCAAGACTACATATGGCGATGAAAGCAGCGAATCATTCCAGGTTCTCATTTTCGCATATTTTTTTTACCTAGCTTTGCATCAAAGTCAGATTTAAGATCATATTTTCTTCGTATTTTAATGCATCTATTTGAGTTAATTGTTCGAATGACAGGAAGCTCGCCGGAATTTCGTTCGGAGTATGGCAGGTTACTCGGTGTTCAGCTTCTTACTACAAATTAAAGACAGACATAATGGCAACATAATGATCGATTTGGAAGGCCACATCATTCATATTGGTAAGCATTCTTAACGTCATCTATGGAACCACTTTATGGAAGATTTCAGACTTTGGCTTTATGTTCGAGAGCAGCCCGGGTGGGAACTTAGGTTTTGAGCCTGATTTCAAACTCAGTGAAGAAATGGTGGCAATCATGGGTGGTAAGATGGAAGCGGCACCATTTCGACAGTTTGCCACACTCTGTGTGCAGGCCTATTTGGCTGTCCGACCTTATCAGAAGGTTGGTGCTACTACACACAACTTTGTACTCACACTTTTCTATGTTTCTCTATTTGTAGGCCTTTGTGTCGTTGGTGTCTTTGATGCTTGACACTGGTCTTCCGTGTTTCCGCGGCAAAACCATCCAACAGCTGCGAGCACGTTTTGCACCTGAGATGAACGAGAGGGATGCAGCAAGGTTCGTGTTCGTTTTGTTCTTTTGAAGTGGACATTGAGTCCCTTTTCATGTTTTGAATTTTCATAACTATATTAATTTCAAAGCACCGTCTCCATAATTCGTCACAAAAATGTTGCATTTTTGAGGATTTCTTTTTTTTCGTGTTTTGAATCTTGGATACCCTGTTCTTAAGCCAGATAAATTTCTTCTTACCTCTAACTCAATTGTTTAATGTGCGGTATGACTAAAAGCGATCTCAATGCGGCACTTATGCGTTGGGAGGGCACGCGTTTAAGGTTGTCTTTATATGAAACTGGAATGCTTCGAATTTTATGTATGCACGTTTCGATGGAAGTACGTAGCCAGGATAGTCTTTGAGACAGCGCCTAGCCAGAATATGAGGACTAGGAAAAGAAATGTAAGGTCCGTGCAATGGTTCACTTCGATTAAGATACATTTCGCTTATTCATTTATGTTAGATCGAATCTTTATAACTTTCTGGGTAGTCTGCCAAGAGCAGCATTTTCTAAGTTGAGACCGGTTGTTCAGCGATAAAATTCCTGTTGTGTGGCGATTTACAGTCATACATAAGGCAATACCTTGCTAGGCTTCGCACCACTGTGTTCTAGTGAATCGATTATGCATAGGTTCTCCATCTTATAGTGTTGGCGGTTGCTTCCACTTAGATTTACTGCTATGATAGTCTAAGTATATGTCGAATTGTCCTTAAAGCAACAGTCCAGGCAGGGTTTCAACTACTTGGTCATTAGGCGGTCAAAACATGCCCCAGCCCAACTAAAGTTTATAGGAAATGTCTTTAATTTCAAAACCTACCTCTAAAATGCGCTGGAAGGGGTCGAAGTCCTCTTGGAGGGGGCGGATCACCCATAAAGAGGCGGATCGCCCAACATACGCTGTGCAGAGCGCTTGCTCGACTAGCGGTCGTTGCGGGACCGCCGCGCTGTATGAGGTCGATTCCATAAGAACGCAATTGAAGCGCTTCAATTTCGATTGCTGGCAAATAGTTATGTATTTGCAAGCATGCATGGCTATTTGCCAGCAGTCAACTGGAGCGCATGTACTACGGGCAGGTTCGGACAACTCGTCCCAACACATCTCTCCCTAAAACGGCCGGGGGAGTCCCTGTCTAAGCCCCTGCCCGACGTTTTTTTTTCTACTTTTTCTATCTCATTTGACATTTACCGAACTCATATAGGTGTTCCTATACTGGCGAATTCGTTCCTGGATTGTTTTTAAGTTCATGAGTCATTAGGCTTTAAGGAGTGTTTGAGAGTTCTTGCGGCAGAGTTATTTAATGTTCTTCAACTTTTGTTTGAGTATGTATGGTATATTCGCTCAATTTTATGAGAATTTGATTTGCATGAAGATATCGTTTTACTCTTTCCCTTTCCCTTTTTAGTTCTTTGATAGTTCTATTTTCAGATATATGCATTCAGTAATTACCAACTGTTTCCTTAACATAAGGAGCAAGATGTATGATCAACTGCAGTACATCCAGAATGAGATCCCTTACTAACGACAAGTCAATTGAACGTTATTGGATTTAATAGAGGAAGGAGATCGGCATCTGTTGATAAGGGCGATTCAGCCGCGTTTCTGTTCGAAAGTATTTATTTCCTCTGACTACGGAGTATTATGTGAACATTCCACATGTGTGTTTAAATAGTGTTACTGTGAAATTCCTATGTTGCGTAATTTTTCTACAGCCAAAGATTTTTGTTTCGTTCGCAGCTGCAGGCAGCACAGTTTGAGATGTCGGCACACACATATAGTATTTACTTACCGTATAATATTTCACTTGCTAGCTGCTAGTCTTTGTTTGTTCCCCTGAAATTACTCAAATTTTCGCGATTCTGTATTTTGGTACATTTTATGCTTCCAGGTGTTCATTTGCTATGTTAATTAGAGTATATAGAGAACTCATCTAGCATAGTAACTTATTTTCAATTAATAATATTTATTTTAAGAGGAGAATTTTATTTATACGATAGCGGCTCTGGGCGCTTTAATGCAATAAATTGTGCTTGCTATGTTGGTTCAAGTTGCTTGTTATATACTATGGTACTATCAGGTTGACATGTCTGATTCAGTGGAGTTGCAGTATTGGTTCTTTTCCTCGAGGTAGTCGACAGTAGCGTGCCCATGTATTGCGTTGAAAGTCTACAGCTGAGACTACAGTACCCTCAACTCAGATAATTGGAGGTTCCTTCGAGAAAAAGCATTTCTCCTTCTGATGGTCAATCCCGGCGAATCTACGATGCGGATGAAGCGGACGCATGGCGCGTCTCAGCGTTAAGTCAAGGGCTTGTGAAACCTCGCCCAAGCGGACCACTTAGAAAGGTGATCCGGGACAGAGTGGAGGTAATGTAGTGGCAGATGGAGCTGTTCACTATGCGCACGGTCCAAGGGATCTAACTTTAGATGCGCCTTGCTTCTAGCCATACCTTTCATCCCTACGAAGTCCTGAAGATACCGGAAGTTCATTTGAGAGGGCGAAAGACTGACATGAGTTATATACATCGGCTGGCCGCAGCAGGTTACTGTATAGGTCAGAATTAAGGCAGAGGCAATGGACAGGACGGCGCTGGTTAATGGCAGGCATGAGCCGAGGCAGTATAGATCCGAGTCCGACGTTGGTGCTGTCTATTAACTGATGCAGGTCTTACCTATGATTGTGAGAACAATGTTTGAACAGCAGGTTCACCGAGGTACAGGTAGGTAAGTCGCATTCGAAGCTCACTACGATTCTGAACAAAAGTGTGATGCATCTATCTAAGGATGGTATCAACTTTGTCTGGTAATTTCTCCATTTTACTACATCATATATGTGATATTTGTCGATTACTATGGCTGCTGTATTGCCTACCGTATCCTTGCGCTCATCGGGACAATTCAGCAAGCCAACATTAGCGCTACTTCCAAGAAGAGAATTCATTTTTTAAGGGAACACATTTTGATTTTTCATGGGACTGAACAGGTGAAGTCCAGCAGTGAATTCTCTTGTACGCCACACTCCACAGAGGCAACAACGATCCTAAATATTTTCACTTGAAGTCCACAACTATCACAATTTGACAGGAATCAAGGAAAAAAAAAAAAGGAACAACAAAAAAAGACACTTGGCAACAAATGGTTACACCTCCAGAAACGAATGCCATATTCGTTACAGAGCACTGGTTCACCCACATTGGCGAGGTTTCGGCGAAATTTTTCTTTTTGGAGCTTTGAGGTTACATTAGTAAATTTTGCCGAAATTCCTTTTATAAACATGCTATTCATTTCATATTTTTATTATTGAGCTCGCCAAAGAAAACAGCCTGCCTTACTGGCAGCTGCTAGGCGAGGAGTTGCCACGCCCGATCGTGTGTGGCCTTGTGGCCTAATGGATAAGGCGTCGGACTTCGGATCCGAAGATTGCAGGTTCGAGTCCTGCCAGGGTCGAAATGTTTTGCTCAGCTATTTCGACGCGCACATCCTGTTGTATTGCAATATAGTATGCTCGCATGAACGCAAAAGTTCATATTACTGTTTTCTGCGAAGTTTATCCACCAAATCAATCATTTAATGGAGTTATCGTATTATGGTGCTTCTTGGGGACGGTTCGTGCTGATTGCGCCGGGTCTCATCCAGTAAGAACATATGTAGCGGCACTTATGATCGCCTAGAGAAATCAAATTCTTGGCAAGGGAAAGAGGCTCGAGGATGGATGCGAAAGCGGAAACGAAATGTTTCCCGCAAACATGAGATTCCTTCCCGGTGCAATGAGAGTTCTGTGGGCAACAGCAACCACCACAGCCCGCTCCCTTATTGGAAGAGAGACTCCCGATCTTACAACCAGTCAAGCGCCACTGCTACAAGCTTATTTCAGTTCTGCAAAAGGCAGACGTATATACAAGGGACAACGTTTGACAACGGCTCACTGTCAGCAGTAGAAAGACCAAAGAGCAATATTTCGAACCTGGATCGCGCACAAAGAGTTCCGAGTGAGTGAGCCACTCCTCAAGTAAAAAGCGAAAAGTACGCAGTCATGGTGATCATCTTTCCAATAACCCAAGAGGGTGAACGGGAGCGCAAAAACTGACACGGTTTAAAGGACTGCGACCAAATTGTCCGTGGGCCACGGAAATGTCCACGGTTTATGCGCGAATTTAAAACGGCTTCAAATCGGATCACGGACGTTGAAGCACTTGCGGTCCATCTTTGTGAGTTTTGTTTTGTGTATGTTTCGTTTGGACCTGGCTAGCGAAAGACTATCCGATGTTGTTAATTCCCACGAAGATTAATGTCCATGAAAATCGAAGTGATTGGTCGTATGTTGGTCTTGTTTTTCAAAAATGTCACCAGTGCTCCTGATTTTTAAAATCCGTTGGAGCGCTAACATTCCATTTTTTCGCGGTGGGCGGGTTAATGTTACAAATTCAGTAGCACGCATAGCGTCAAATAGGTTCAAGAGGTCATGGATTTTTTGCAAGGTCGCCATAGGTCGCCATGTGTGTTGTTGATTCTGCAATTTCGACATGTCTGGCTGAAGAAACGAACAATACTTTTCACTGTGATTGCTTAATTTTTTTTTTCCAGGAACTCTTGTCGACAAAATTTGGGTATCAATCGCACACCTTACTAACTGGCCACCCTTGTTATTTCTCGTTCTCCAACAAGTTCTTCGACCCTTTGAAAGATAGAACTTTATTGTATTTCTTACTTCTGAGAAAATCTATGTTCTTTTTTGTGAAGGTGCAATCTTTAGACACACAAACGAGTGTTGCGAAGAAGAAACTGTTCCGTTGAAGTGGAATGCGGCAGTAAACGAACCAGTTAGTCATTTAGAAATACCTTAAGAGCGATAAGCAGTTTTTGATTTTTACTTCGTTTCGTTTTAAAATAATAACTAGCGTATGGTTGTGTTTCAACTTTCACTTGAGCAACTAAGCTCCAAAATGGCCAGAAAAGTTCCGCTGAGAACTTCATTTAGGGTTATGGTTGATGTTTCTCATGATTATTCCATTCATCTATAGCGCCTATGGGCCATCCTTTTCCTTAACTACTCTCATATAGGGCCGTATGCTATCCTTCCCCGAAGCTAGGTGACGCAAAGTTTCCTTTAAATTTATTTGCTTTGAACGATGTAGTTTCTTCATTTTCAATGCATGTTTACTTTAACCTACATACATACATTTAATGTAGGCCTTTTATCAGGGTAATCCCAGTTAATAATTCTCAAAAGCCCTGCTTGCGTATACGGTTACGGCCAAACCTTCATGTTGTGTCTGTGCTCTGAACACTGAATAATCTCTTTCGACGGATATTCAGTGAAAGTAATTCTTTTACAAAATTTCGGTATTGTTGTATTCGAATTAAACATCCTATTAGTCCATGAAAATGCCTTACAGTTCCTAGCTTCTAGCTTTTAGTAGATGATTATATAGAAAATATTCCTTGTAGGCGAAAGGGCGACAGAAGGTGAGGTGACCATTTCTTTCCAGGAACATCTCAAACAACGCAACAAGTAAAATTGGAAGAAACGTCACCGCAGCCAACGCAATGTGGCGAAAAACGTACCAGTGAGTTATTCCCTAATTTCTTTGGAAGAGCAGCATCTTCTTCTTCTTCTTCTCCCCTAGCGTTAGTCCCGCGCAGTCGCAGGGTCCGCTGTCTTTGTCAGCCGTCGCCACTTTGCTCTGTCCAGGGCATCTTCTGCTGTGGCCGCGTTCACTTAGGTCCTTCTTGATACGTCTTCCACCTCTTCTTGGGGCTCCTCGCGGTCGCTTGCCTTGCGCTTCGAAGTCCATCGCTTTTCTTATCGGGATGGTCCTTGTGGCCTCCTTAGCACATGCCCATACCATCGCAGACGCTGTTCCCGTACCTTCAGCTGGACAGGGGCAGTCTGCATGACCGCTCTGACATCCTCGTTTCTGACCCTGTCCAGTCGCGTCCAGCCGCAGGCCCATCTCAGCATCCTCATTTCAGCGGAGTGAAGCTGCCTTTCGTGGTTCTTGTTCAGGGGCCAGCACTCGCTGCCGTATAGCATCGCAGGCCTTACCACTGTCCGGTACACCTTTCCTTTGAGCGTTCTGGAGCACCTTCGATCGCAGAGTGATTCCTAACTGATCCTCAGCGTTAAAGACGTAGAGCACACTAGAGTGGCTCCCCTCATCTCTATTTTTACTCCAATACGGAAAGGACATATTATTCTGGCTAACAATCTAATGATTACACTGCAAGCTGGTGAGTGCTTCCGCTTCCCTATCGGCTGTGATGAATACGGCATTTCTTCCTGGTGCCGGGCTGGCGCCATGAGTTTTCCCCTCCATCGTTAAAAACTCTTTTTGAGAATTATTAAGAGCTTTGGTCACAGACCTTTTTGAGAATTATTAAGAGCTTTGGTCACAGACGTGGTAATGGTGCCGAAAATGAACGTTGTGGTTAGATCATGATTCTTAGAGTTTGTGAAAGGAGCGCTGAATAACTAATTGATCCCAAT